ATGTTAAGTGCGGTTCCTGTTATCAATAAATTCGAACTGAGCACCAGAAACTACACGATGCAGCAATCCCTGGAGCAATAAAGTAGGTTACTTTTGGCATTGGTCTGACTTTCGTACCTGACCGTAGGCGAAAAGAATTTGTTCCTTTTATTGTTGTGTTGCCTAAGAAAGTATCTCAGATGTACGGCTTCGTCTATCACTCCGTTGTCGCATCAGAGTGAGCGATTCCCAAGAAGCTGACTTTTCCGAATTCACTGGCCTGACTGACCTGCCGTAGGTAAGCGACATTACAACATATATCTAGTTTGTTGACGCCAAACGATCCGCTACTCGATTATCTACAGTTATGCCAAATTTGCCGAGACTGCTCCGCACTACTTAGAAACCATTCCGGAAAAACCTTTGCGAGGAATTAAGTTGACCCTCAGCAGAGCGCGTGTTAATCGGATCTTAACTGGAAAGTCCAAAGTAAAACGAAAGGGCCTTGTTTGGGTCAGGGACCCCAGTATTGAACGAGAGGCCCTCCGCCTCATTTTGGCCAGGGACCTGATAAGCCGAATCGGGGTCCCTGTGCTTATTATTAGAGCCCTGCTTTGGTAAGGGATTCCTTTGCGAGAATGACGGCCTCACGCCCATTCGGGATCAAGTGCCGCGGTCAGAACGCCTTCCGCGACAGGCATGGGACCGATGCGTGATGCATCCCTCTGATGGCCTCCTGATCGGCTATGAGGCCTTATCCCCGTATCTGAGCGACCTTCTCGGAAAAGGTAAGGTGTCTCCTTGGGTGGATCAGAACTGGGTAAATTTTGTATTGACCTAACCAACGCATGCTTGCCTGAGGACGCTCATTGTTTGTTCAAAATGAACAAGTGAACACAAAACAAATAAACAACAAAAAGTTTATTCTTAGATTAACTACAGTACAGATACAGATACAGATACACTACAGCAAACACGAATAATGCGAATTCCATCACTACGTCAAGAGTTCATCGTGATACCAGCGCTAATCCGTTCCCATGATTAATCTGAACATTGCGCTGGTGAAATATACGGCCCAGGCTACCTTCAAAAAGGGCAAATTGATTTCATAAAGCGCTTGGGTTCGATACTATTAAATACATCATTTTCAGCAATCGATCGTGAAGAAGGATCGTCAGGTGAAGATGAGTTGACCAACAAAATACATAACTAATACAGACCATACATAATACAAATGTTTGAACTCATTTTGGTCTACGATCTGCGTTCAGTGCACAACTGAGCCTACGCTCATCAATCTTTGTGCAATCAATCTTATCAATATCTTTGTAGAGTCCTGAACAAGTTCAGGCAACGCCCCTGGCTGCCATCTGTTAAGAAAGAGCCCGCCCAGCCATGGTGGAATGAGTAACACCGGCAGTTATTCGATGCAGTCATTTGATATATGGTTCCTTTCCTTTGATGACTTTTAAATTGAAGTGCATTTGCATCTTTTTGTGGCTTTTGGCCTCCGTTTTCAGATTAAAAGACGAAACCAGAACTAAAGCGACGAGCATTGGCCCCCTCGAAATGAAATGCGATGAAGAAGACAGTTTTTATTTGAGGGGGTGGGGTGGCGCCTTTTCACCAGCAGGGAGCCCTTCGTTAAACACGATGTCCCCCTTACCTTTCGCCTTACCAAGACTCTGGCTGTGGCTCTGCCTGTATTTCATTGCTGGAGACTTTTGGTAGGCTCAAATTGTTTCCTTAGATCGTCCAACCTGGCTTACATGCACAGCTGTGTGCCCAAACAACTGCCTTGATTGCTCCAGACTCGCCTCTGAATAGCTCGCATACATGGTACATAACCCTGACATGTGGTCATTATGTACGGCACAGATCATGTTAAAACTTATTTCAGGCAAACATCGGCCGAGTACAGCCAAAAAATCATGGAGGGCACGTTCGTCTGGATCAGCCAGGCACTCGTTCTGACATACGTCCCAAAAATATGTACTTGGGCCGCATTTGAATAGTATGCGAAGCGGGGCACATAGATATCGGCGGGTTATACGACAATACCTTTCTAGGAAAATTCAAAAAGCATCAGAATGCTAGCTGTAACGGTCTGAAATGCAGCTACAAAATTAATCGTGAACGTAATATGGTTATCGTATGGGCGTAGGGTCAAATAGGTAAAGTGGGTCATATGTAACGTCCACGAGCATGCCACATGTGGTATCGCTGAAACTTGGTAGCCCAGGCAAAGCGGTTGAAATTTAATAAATTTATTAATTTGACATGCCTTATGACTTGGTTAACAAAACCATAGCGTTGCCAAAATACTTCTTATGGTGGATACCAGTGACAATAAATTCGGCTAGGCGCCTGTTTAATTGGCATGACCCCGGAGACGATAACCAAAGCTGTGGTTGCGGTCTAAAACCATATATATATATATATATATATATATATATATATATATAATTGGCATAGCCAGTATTCCTAATAGTTAACGTTTCAGCATACCATATTGGAGAAGACGTCTCTAAAAAGTGGCATAGGCCATGCGCAGGTTGATTGATGGCGTTCCAATGGGTCGCAGTGTTTACCTCTCTTACTTATTTGTTCTCGGGGCATTTATGCGCACCATTTACTTTGCCCAGCGGATTTGTCGTCTTTAGTTGCCGAGATCTAGCACTAGTGCTTAACATCCTCACAACATTGGCGGATCAGTGTCTTCGTGCTCGGTGGGACGTAGTCTGTTGCAGACACAAACACACAATTTTGCCACGGCAGTTATCCCACCTCCCCCCGCTCTCCTCGGTCAAGTAGTGTTGGCTTCGTATCGCTGCTACGAATGTCTGTCAAGATCCGGATTCGGCTTCGGTTCGCGTTTTGAAGCTGTTTTGCAAATATAATAATTACTTTAGTCATACCAGCCGAATGGAGGCGATTAGTATTTTATTCACATTTCAGTTTAGCAAGAGGGTCCCGCCGGATGAAATGGCTCGCGAGCAAACGGACTAAAACCAATGTTGCGAAGCTCTTGCATATTTTTTTCTGAGTGCTGCGTGATGCTGTGTTGAGTAATGAAACAGATGAAAGCTTCCAGAAGGCGTGATGACATTTACAAACCCCCAACCTACGGCTTCGCTTGTAACTTCTACACTCCCGGGCACTGCACTAGCTGCGCACGAATTTCGTGCGTCACAACACGGAGTAAGCTATTGATTATTATTCATTATTGTTTCGCTCAGGAGCATGAAGATCAAAGGGAGAAAATGTCGTCTCACAGCATTGCACTAGCTTTTATTTGTGCTTCTGGCCATTCTCTGCTACTTTGTCCATGCCTGGTCCGTCCGCGCCACTGCTCATCGCTCATTCTGTGCGCCGACTGGGCTTCTGGCTATGTGCAATAGTTATTTTGATGTCATGAATGCCTGCCGCTACATTCTGTTAGTTCTCTACTGCGCAATATCGAGGCTGGTTCTTTCCAGATCCTTTTAGGTGAACCATAGGGCAATTATACGCGACTGTGCACAATCACGGTCTATTATTTGCATCTCGTTATATTATATATATCCTGCGTTATTTGATTAGCCAGGAGAGGTGACTCAAGCATATGAATGATATGAGTTTATGAGTCAGCGGTTTATAGACATAAATGGAAGCAAATGAGGGACATTGCGAATTCCCTGATACGCAGGCAGTTCGGACAACGCTGATACATTAGGAATAAGTAAAACATCCTGTCGATGCTTGAGGAATAATCTCCGACTCGTTGACAGCTAGTCTGCAATATTACGTTTGAAATTTAGCTCACGCGGTTGCGAGTGGTAGCTTTCTGACTTCTTAAACCTGTATTTGACGATATTCTATCAACAATGTTATTCAGCCGCCAGTGAAGTATTTCAGCTATTCCGACTATTTTGTTTTGTGTTCTGCAGTGATGTAGCTGTCATTCGTTTGATGCTGATAACCAGTCATACGCTTTTGGCGGCGTGCGGCGAGCAGCGTGATAGCAGATGTAATTCTTGTCTCCATGCGGATGAATCAAAATCTAAGCGTGCAGAGCCGCTCGTATTTGGAAGCCCGGACGGATAGAAACTACAAGTGTCGTTTTCATGAGCTTAGCAGGTGGAGATGCACTATTTACGCTGGCTTAGATGACTGGAATAGCTTATGATAACTGACGAGGCAATGGGGAAAAAGCTCTTCTATTCTGAGCCATAACTAGGCAATGTGTGTATGTAGCTTTCACGACCTGACCTGTCTGTGCTTAGCCTCCAGCTGGCGGCATGTGAAACCGGATTCATTAAAGAGTACATCGGTGGCTTTGCACACATTTATGTATAACTTTTCCGTGTTGTTGCCATTGTTTCTTCCGTTAGTATAAGTATCCTCATGTCGCTCTGGCATACTGGTCTGGACTTTGATCTGTGCCTTTTACCTGTTACATACAAAACCTTCTTAAACAATGTGCACTCAGGACGAAATCAACACGAAAGCAATATAACCAGATCCTCCAAAGCAGACACTGGCCAGGCCCCTTCATTGCAATGAGGGGCAGGCTCATGGCAACGCACCAACACCTCGCTACGCTGGACAGCATCACTCCATTGTACGTGCGAGGTTTCTGCCCGCACTGCCGGATGCGCGGCCCGTCAGGCGGCCCAGCCGCTGGTACTTTGCTTCTTAGTATACCGACAGAGCGGTGTCAACTTCCAGCTTCATGTGCTGCAGGGGCTGTCCGTTTAGCTTTACGTCCACATAGATCAGAGGCCGCAGGGCCCCGCCCTCTCCGATGTCGCCTAGAAGATTTGCCACGCTATCATCCACTGCGCCCTCCTCATTAGTTGCTATTAAGGGCGCCCCTGTCACGCCTCCGCACTACTCTTCCGCGGTGAGCTGTGAGCTGAGGCCGCTGTGAGCTGATCCCGGGCCGCTGTCAGCTGATTCCGGGCCGCTGTCAGCTGGTCCCAGGCCGCTGTCAGCTGATCCCGGGCCGCTGTCAGCTGATCCCGGGCCGTTGTCAGCCGATCCTGGACCGCTCTCAGCTGATCCTGGACCGCTGCCCCGTCGACAGCGTTGGCATCCCACATGAATGAGCTCCCACCCACCACAGCGGAGCACGGGCGGCCCCGCGCGGACGACCGTGACTCCGGCAGCGAAAACAGCGAGCCACCAGGCTCGGTCCTGCACATCGGGAGCGCCGGAGCGTCCCCTGCGCTGCCGGGCCAGCAGCCGCGCAAGCAGTCGCTCTCGCCGGCGGGAGTGCTCACCGGGGACGTCGTCCATGACCCTGGGACGTCGTCGTGCGATGAATGTCGTGACAAAGAGCGACAGGTGGCAACTGAGGGATGCGCACAGGCCGAGCCTGCCTGCCGTTGTGTTGTGGCTAACACCAGTGATGCTGCTCAGAGAGCAGCAAATTACCTGCACAATGAAATCACCGCGTGATAATACCGCGTGAAAGCCAAGTGAAAGCAAGGATTGCAATTTTTTGTCCACGGATATTTACCTCTCCAGTAACATCATTGGCATCTAGCAATGTCATAAAAGCCATGACATATCATTGCATGCTGCAGAGAACTTTTATGAAAACAAAGAAAAGTTTTTGACCAGCAAAAGCCTGCTACGTCTGGCCTATAACCCAGCCAAGATCCTGCGGGTTTTGCGGGTTAGAAATTGGCAGGCTGTCAGACTGAAAAATTGCGTCTCTAGTCGCTACCCCCGTTCACCGGCACTGCGGAAATCACAATGCGAACCCGCATTTTCATCTCATTCAACGGTTTGAACATTTTAGGTCTCCCGTGTGGATGAAATAACTGATGTTGCAATCTTGAAGAGGTACTGCGTCTTATCAGTCACGACAACTAGGCGTTTTGAAAATGCTAGGGCAGAATTTTCATAAAAAAATCGCGCCACTCATTGGAGAGAGCTTCACGGCAGTGCGGTCAGGGGCTGCACAGCGCGAGAAACGTTACTGGCCTGCCGCGCAGGGTTGCTGAAGCCGCAGATAAATAAATAAGTCGCTCTGATTATTGCAATACCCCGGTGGCGTGCGATGGTATGTCCATTAAAAATGTCCGAGAGTGGTGGGTGCCGGCGTTGTCCAATCGTTTCCACCCAACTGATGGCTAATAAAGCTAATGGACATTAGCATTCGCAAGGTTCTGATGCTCTGAGCGAGGGGAGGGTTGGCAAGGTGTGGGGGTTGGCAGCGCTCTAATGCATCAAAAGGAAAACAAACACAAACTCGGATGACCAATCAAGTAAACATACACAGAACGTTGCGGTAGCGGCAAGTACAAACTTCGTCTCATCGTCGTCACTCTAAGCTTGTGATGGGCCACTGTTTCCGAAGACGTGAACTGATCCCGGGAATGATTCGTAACTACGAGTGGTGCCGCACACAGAGGTTGTCTAAAATCAATTGCACGGGTTTGTTTCGTAAGATGCAATGTATTTCTTCTTGTGCATCACTTCAGCTGCAGATGACTCCGACTACCTATCCGGGCTACTCCACTGTTCATACAATTTCGCTGTCTTGTAAATTACTAGGGTCAGAACGAAGACAGCTTGAATGCTTGTGAAGCGGAGTTGTTCCTCGGAGCTATTGTCCGGTGGCATAGTACGAAACACTTGCATTCGTCATTAATTGAAGACGAAAGAAAATATTTTGTACATCCAGCGGTGTGATGCCATACAAATGTAGCTTGATAATAGCCTGCTAAAAACAGCTTATTTTTACACGTTAGCGACTACAGATGAGCTAACTGTGTTAGCAAGCCAGGATGGACAGCACTGCCTCAGCTGTCATGCAGAACGCTCGAGGTGGCATCACTGTGCGTCTTGGAACCTCATTTCTTGTGGGTGAAGCCATTTCCATAGAAATGCTGCTGCCGTTGGACTTTCATCTGCGTGATCTACCTGCTTCTGGAACTGACCTAAATTTATAAAAAGACGTACAGTTAGCTAACCAAGTATGCTGCAGCCTCTGAGGGCCAGCTCAGCCAGTGGTCATGCAATTGACGGTTTACATTTTGGTAACCTTCGATTGTACCGCCATTAAGTATGTAGCATTAGGGGCAGGGCAATTCATAAGTTGCGCTCCAATCTTTTGGAGGTAATTAGAACGAACTGCTCGGGTGGAAGTTTCCCACTAGATTGCAAAATCACCACGTATTTCTCGTCCGATAAACGTGGGAACATTGAATTCTCACATTGCAAAAAGGCTACAGAGCACGAGTCAAAGCCAGGTCCAAACTTGGATGACCAGGCGTCGCAGCGACACAAACCGACACATTTTCCCGGAGGAGAGAACGGACAATCGTAACTGCAGAGGTGCGGGTCGATGTATGCAGTCGTTCACTGGCTTTGACGTTCAGGTCGTTGACCCGATCGTTTCAAACTGCTTTCGAGGAGGACAGATAAGATATATTTGCATCCAGAGCAAATGTGCACGTGGAACTACCTGTTCGGTGTAAGTGCAAGCAACATCTAGCACCAGCTGAAAAATAACTAAATGTTTTGCATTTTCCAACCCATGGGTGTGACGCTATTACACTGATCAGCGGCTATTGTCGGCTTGTCTGCGACAGGCTTAAGATACAATGTGCTGTGACAGAAACCGAGAGAGATCGAGCTATGGGAACTGCATAGACACATCATCCAGTTTATTGGAATCAATACCGACCGACAAAATCTTTGGTTTTGCCAAATTTTAGGCAGTAAGCAAAAACACACTAGTCCAAATCAATACATTTCGCAACTTAAAGGGAGTGCTCCACATTTAAATGGAGTTTTAAACTGAAATAGCAATCTTGAAGACCTTTCATTACTGTTCACAGCCCTGCCAATCTTAAGACCAAAGCGCCTCTGGTTTCTGAGCCACACGTCCGCGAAAATGGAAAAAGGTGTATGCGGAGAGAGTATTTCAATCATCTTGGCATTCGTGACGTCATAAAAGCGTCAATCAAATCCTGCAGTTTTACAAACCATACCGCTAATGAAAGCCAAGAAAAATGTTATTGTCGAAGCGTTCATATCTGGGATGTGTGAGCGCGATTTCCAGACATAACGGCCGTCAATTGGCTGTCAATTAGTGTTGTACAAAGTACGATAACGTAATCAAAGCATGATGCATTGAGGACCATGTTTACTAAACAGAGAATTGTGCTGTCTAGAGCAATACTTTCCACTTCAAAAGCAAACTTGTAGCTATAAGTGAGCTTGTTTCATCACATCTGATGAAACAAACTCCAATATCCTCAAACGTAAAACATTCCCGTTAACGCGCCGTATTAGACCGGACGATATTTTTCTAAAGGAGGCTTATCTGGGTCATGTTAGGTTAGTGACCCACTTTGACATTTCAGAAGTCCATGGAAAATATATCTTGCAGTCCCTGCTATCAAAAATTGAACTGAGCATCAGAAACTACCCCATATTGCAGGCTCTCCAGAAAAACAGGCTGGTTTTGACTGCCATCTGCCAACAGTGACAACGGATATCCTTACATGCACATAAAGTTGTGTTCCACCAAAAGATCCGCTATTCAATGGCCTACAGCTATGCCAAGTTTGGTACGACTGCTAGGAAATCATTCTGGAAAAACCTCCTGGGAGTCAAATTGACCCATACCCGAGCGCGTGTAAAAATGGCTTGGATAAGGCCCAGTCTCGTCCAGTCGGGCCCAGTCAATGAATTTTCAAGCAGTCCTACCATAAATGTGTGCGCGAGCGTTAAACATCTGTGTACCTGCTCCTGGTGGAACCATTGCCGTGGGATATTTCAGTACACTGAATCGTCCTATTTGTTTGTGTTCCCAGATGACAAGCTTCATTCGCTTTTCAGCAGGCATGAACGTAACAAACATTCCTTTTGTCATAACATTCATACGTCATGTCATAACGTCATAACAAACATTCGGAGGGTACCCCTCCGAGTGCGTATTGAAGTGGTCTGTACAGGAAGTAGTGAACATTTATTATACAAAGTAATTCAATTCATTGTGGCTGCATGCGTAACTGCCACTCATTTAGCTTATTATAACTATGCTTATGCACCAGGTGTACTTCTTAAAAAAAACTTGGGTTTGTTTTGCAATGAAGAACATTCGCCTGGCTGACTTTGTCTCACTCGGATCAACCCCTGGCCACAACTTATCAGAAACTATTCAAGTCGTTCCTGGCGTCAGGAAATTCCTTAGTTTTTGTCAGACTAAAAGTTTAAATGAAAAGGGTATTTCTGCATTGGAAGATAGCTTACTGGCTAATCTATTCCAAGTAAGATTGGCTTTCTCATACGTGGAGCCAATTCCATCTTAGTGGCGTGAAGTTGTTTACGGCTCCATGTTGCTATAATTGGCATTCCTTTGACAAGTTAAACGAAAATCTGCATAAAGTACACACGGACTGAAGTGTAGTGTAGACATGCTCTTGCAAATGGTCGGTATGAAATGTAGCTAAAATTAAGCTGTGACATTTTACAGTGAATGCTAATGCATAAGCGCACGTACTGTCAATATCGCTGAGCGATTCCCATGCAACGTTATCGCGATAGCCTATCAGAACTGCCAATGACAAACCCATTTGTACAATTGCCAGTTGATTCTGCCTACATTCACTTTAGTTTACGTGTTGCAACTATTGAAACTGTCCATCTCTCATCATCACCTCAATCGCGCCTCGGTGATAATGCAGCTGATAATGGGGCACATCCACAGCCGCTGGGAATCCGTGCCGCATGATGAGCCTGGCAGGGTCCGCTCGGCGCTGGGCGGGATCGACGGACGGGCTAGTTCTGGCACGACTCTCTGACAACAGCTGGCTTCAGGATAATCCCCGTGTGCTGCAGCGCGCAAGGGTACAGTGCGCAGAGGCGAAAACGAGCGGGTACTAGCCTTGCGGTTACACGCTTGAAAAGTTTTCGGTTGTAAAGTCCTGTTAAACCATTACTTGCATGACAACAAAGGCCGCAGGGACTCCAGCGCAATGAACTCAGTTGTGCCAGACATTCACAAAATAAGGAAACGTCTTCTGCCAAACTCTACGCCAATACGACACAGCAGTTTTTGACAAGGCGCTGCTCCCTGTCGCATATGGGCGGCTGTCATCAACTCAGCGGATCACACCAGCCACCTTTCCCGTTAGCCCGTCAGTAGGTCCGGCAAACGCTCCCTCTGGTCACGCCGCTCTCACCCTTCGGCCTTTTCGCACGCTAACTCTGTGTTACGTCCTGTGCCACGACGGCACTGCATTGCACATACGCCTCTTTATGTGGCACATCCGGCAATGTGCCATTCAAGAGCGATGTACGCAGTACACTTCGGCTACCCCCGACCCGCGGCGACGCGGCTGCCGGCCTTGCGTTTATCGACTGCGTCAGCGGCTCGGCGGAGTCGGCGCCATGCTCGCGCCGCTGACGGCCAGGCCAGCCTCTCCCGGAGCCGCTCATTCAGACGTCAGTCTCACGGGGCGCCGGGCACAGGGTGGCGACGCCGCCACGCTGGGAGCGGCCGATTGAGCGCGGCTGGCGCGGCCGAGCGCGACCGGATGCGACTACCGGGGGATCGGGGAGACCCTGACGTGGCCAGATGTCACTGCCAGGGGAGATCGGGGAGATCCTCACGTGGCCAGCTGTCACTGCCAGGGGGGATCGGGGAGACCCTGACGTGACCAGCTGTCATGTCACTGCCAGGGGGATCGGGGAGACCCTGATTTGGCCAGCTGCCACGGCCAGGGAGATCGGGGGAGATCCTAACATCACCGGCTACCACTGTCAGGGAGATCTGGGCAGCGTTGAGGTCCAGCGTGCTGCACCTCGGCGCTATCACGGGTGCTGCAAGCTTACCCTCATGAATTGAAATGTGCGCTAATCGGTATGGACACAGGCTAGTTTGGCCTCCGGTTCCCGGAGGCCGCCCGTCGCCTTGTCTCCTTCATCTACGATGGCGTCGCTCGCCGTAGATAACTGCGGGATGCCGCAGTTCGACTGTTTTCGTCCAACCGAACGTTAATGAATTCCACGCTGTATTATTTCACGACTCACGCAAAGCCGTTGTAAACGACAATTCCTCACCAAGGTTTACAACCGGGGTGTCCTTGAAGTGTATGCCCGCACGTTCACACCAGTCGCTGCACTGGCTGACTCCGCTTTGGACCGCGTTGGAACTGGGAGCAGCGGTAGCACTAGGTGTTAAACTTCGGGATATGCTTGCAGCCAGCGGCGTCGTGAACAGCAGCACACTCGCCATATTAGCTGTATGTACGTGTGTCTTTCTATCCACGTGATACGACGGATCTGTATCATCTTAGTGCGTACGTGTCAGGGCTGTATAAAAAACAGTGGCTGATCTTGTGTGCCATTATGCATTGACTTCCCCACCGCAAATTAGTGAAAACACGTCAGCATGTCATTCAAGCTCGAATGTTGCGCCTTATGGCAGCATGTCAAGTACTTTGTCAGCTGCACCTCTAGCTGACACTCTCCCTGGCAATATAAGAGACCGGGGGCGTGAACGCAAACAAAAGCTAGAGAGACAAATAACTCTTCAACGTCAGTTATTTCCAAGAGTCACAACAGGGATTCGGTTTTCCGAAAGGCCTAGTTAGCCTGCCCGCTCTAGCCTTTCAGCCCAAGACGCCTCTGGACGACACATGAACAAGTCTGTGCAGCGTCGTATCTGCCGCCGGGTTTTCACTTGCATAGCTAATTTTGTGTATGCAAAAGTAAAGGCACATGCTCTAAAAAGGTGATGATTTCATTCAAGATGGTTTGCCTTCCTTATCATGACGATGGAAGTCGATCGAAACGCACACAAAAATGTGTCACGCAGTGAGTGTTGTCTAGAGGCGTGAAATACTATGACATTCGGAGAGAAGTGTCGCCGCCTGTCCGTAAAACATGCCACTCGCCCACTCTTCTCAAGTGCGGAACTTGGCACGAATTTGCACTGCCCGCTCCTACCACTACAGCACCTGTCATCGCTGACGCTTCGCTCACTCCCACAGGCGCGATCGAAAGCCTGTTCCACTGATGTCGTCGGCAAGGGCCCGTCGTCGCAGCGCACGGCTCAAAAGGGCCACCAGAAGGGCGGCGGCAAGGGGGGCAAGGGCAAGAAGGGCAAGAAGGGCCGTCACCAGCAGTACGACCTGATCGTCACCATCGACCTCGTGGAGTATGGCCTGACTGAGGAGCTGGTAGCTGGTGAGTGCGAGTAGCTCGGCTCGACTCAGCTCGGCTCAGCTCAGCTCAGCTCAGCTCAGCTCAGCTCAGCTCGTCTCAGTTCTCAGCTCAGTTCTCGACTCAGTTCTCAGCTCGGCTCGGCTCTGTTCGTCTCGACTCGGCTCAGCTCGGCCCTGCCCAGCTTAGCTCAGCTAACCTAAGATTGCCTGTCATATGGTCAGCCCAGCTCAGCTCAGCTCAGCGTATGAGCATTGTCAGTGGGACACAGAGCGGCTACGTCCCTCCAACCTTGCGTCTTCCCCTCCTGAAGTTGCTGACGATGCGAGCGTTTTTATTGCTTGACCGTCAAAGCCGAGTCTTGCCGCTAGATACATGCTTACCGAGTGTTTTCTAGACTGAGGCTATCACCACATCCGTGCATGTACCGTCACCTTTCTACCCTTCCTTTCCGTGCAGGGCTGCGCCCCACTCAATCCCAGCTGCCCCCTAGCGGCCGCCAGCCGTCGTCGCTTCGACTGCGGCGGCGCGTGAGAGATCGCGCCCCAGTCGACGGCGGAAAGCTCCCTGGGTGTTGGCACACTCCTACTGTTCGGCCTCACGTATGCTGATTTGTCCCTTCGAAGTTTGTCTCCCCTACCTTTCGTGGCTGACATCGTCCGGCCACATTCGTAGAGTTCAAGGAGGCGTTCATGCTGCTGGACCGGGACGAGGACGGCGTCATCAGCATGCACGAGCTGGGAGTAGTGATGAAGTCGCTCGGCCAGCGACCTACAGGTGGGCTGGTTGGGAGGGGCGCATCCCGGTACCGACGGCACACACGGGCCGGCGGACGGGTAGAGACTGACGGCCGTGGGTCGGGGTCAGTGTCGGAGAGGGGAGTGTCCCCACACCGACGGCACACACGGGCCGGCGGACGGGCGGAGACGGACGGCCGTGGATCGGGGTCAGTGTCGGAGAGGGGAGTGTCCCCACACCGACGGCACACACGGGCCGGCGGACGGACAGAGACTGACGGCCGTGGGTCGGGGTCAGTGTCGGAGAGGGGAGTGTCCCCACACCGACGGCACACACGGGCCGGCGGACGGGCGGAGACGGACGGCCGTGGGTCGGGGTCAGTGTCGGAGAGGGGAGTGTCCCCACACCGACGGCACACACGGGCCGGCGGACGGGCGGAGACGGACGGCCGTGGGTCGGGATCAGTGTCGCGGAGGGACGTGTCCCCACACCGACGGCACGCACGGGCCGGCGGACGGGCGGAGACGGACGGCCGTGGGTCGGGGTCAGTGTCGGGGAGGGACGTGACCCCACACCGACGGCACACACGGGCCGGCGGACGGGCGGAGACGGACGGCCGTGGGTCGGGGTCAGTGTCGGGGAGGGGAGTGTCCCCACACCGACGGCACGCGCGGGCCGGCTGATGTCGCGGAGACTGACGGCCGTGGGCCGGGGTCAGTGTCGGGAGGGACACACTGCGTGGAGAGCTGTTGGAGATAGGAAAGAGGAGGAGTAGCAGCACGGACCAAAGGCCCGCGCAATACTCGGTGTGCGTTATGTTGCAACAAGCGTTAAGTTGCGATTTTTCACCCTTGATCTCTTGATTTCAACTCAAAATCGCCATCGGTTATTAAAACACATCGGCCATAGAAATCACCATCATAATTTTTCGACTCAAATAACGTGTCGTCTTTCACCATGAACCATTAAAGACAGCCATTATGCTCGCTTTACCTTGGCTATCGACGTCGCGTATGCTCAGTCGATTCACAATCCCGTGCCGCTGTTTTTCGGCTAAGTCGACAAGAGTCATCATATTGACCGGGCGGTGCTGGGGCTTGGTAATCATCTTAGCTCCCACTGAACGGCAGAGGTAATGAGACATATCCTGCTCCTTGCTTCCGCTACCAAGAAGTATGCCACTCTTGGATTCTGGGCACGAACCGGGCTTATAAGCTCAATACTGTAGAACTACCACAGATCACGGTCGCGGTGAACGTGCGCCTTAAGTCAGCTGTGAGTAGCTGCTAAATACCTATGTGGAAAAATAGGTGAAACAATACGCACTGAATCCAGCAAAGTACATGGCGAGAGTAACGGGGCACGTAACGACAGCGTGTGTGACTGCCAAACAGGCTGGTAACTGCGCGATCAGACAGGCAACACGTGAACGATAGCTGTGACATCCCTTTTGAGAGTCATTGGCTGAACGGATCACGTGGTCCGGGCGTGACGTCACGTTTGGTCATTTGGCAGTGACGGAGCTGGAGCAGATGGTCACCAAGGTCGACCAAGAAGGCATCGGTCAGATCGAGTTCAACGAGTTCTTGCAGATGATGGCACGGAAGATGTCCGGCATGGAGAGTGAAGACGAGCTGAAGGAGGCCTTCAGGTAGTTTTATGTGAGACGTTGGGTGGTTACATTGGCCAACAGGTCTGGGGAGTGGCTCTCAGGTTCCTCAATATTTGAAAAGGTGAATTCCTTTTTCATACTTGCTAATGTTTATCACCAAGAGGGTATTAGCATTCGATCGAAAAACTGCCTATAAATCTGAAACACAACGCATCCGCGAATCCTTCTTTTTATGTAATCGCCTAATCCAATCAGTTTCAATGCGACATAGTCAAATTATTTCCCACCGTGATTGGCACCAGTCCATCGCTTTCCAACCGAGCGCAACATTAAATAGCAGCTGCAGACCTCCTGAGTACTTGACTTCCCCTTAAATCGACATTAAGTTGCACTCAATTCGTTTCAATCCATTACGGCAGATGAACTGACACTGACGCATCGCGCCAGCTTTCAAGCAAGGCGTGCCGCGCACACTGTCAATGGTAACGACAATGGCCATTCGTCAATGGACAGATGGTCCCGGGTGGCCATTTCCAGTGCTTAATTTCCCGATGCATAGGAGACCATTGCTTCTTCTCAGAGTCTTCGATAAGGACGATGATGGATTTTTGTCGGTGGCCGAGCTGAGGCACATCATGACGTCAATGGGCGAGAAGATGACCAAGAATGAGGTCGATGACATGATCTCGGAGGCAGACAAAGACGGAGACGGGAAAATCAACTACCAGGGTAATAGTGTGTGTCAGCTTCCATCTTGATGACAGAAATACAGGCAGGATGCCCACGTGTGTCGGAAATAATGGTTTTGGACGTGCCCAAGAGCAAGTTGTACAGCTGCTACGAGGCAACAATATTCCCCACCCACTGAACTACGTGTAGTGTGAACTACGTGTGAATACGTGCAGTGTGATCCACTCCGAGCCTGCGTGATGCATGGGAATACCACGCTCTCCTGCGTGCATCCGGCGCTCAACCCACCCCCACGTCCCATGCGCGCACGACGGTCCAGCCTGACAGTGAACCTTGCTCGACAGAGTTTGTCCAGGTGTTGACCTGCGGCTCATCGCGCGAGTAGGCGGAACGAGGAACGTGAGCCCACCTGCTCTCGCAGCTCGCTGCTCGCCCAGAAGTCCTCCTGTCAGAGGAGACGGCCCAAGTTAGGGGTCGCGTCGTTCCTTCGGCCGCGCGGCCTTACCGCGCGGTGCGGGAGGCAATGGGTCGTCCCGCACAGCGCCTCCGGTGAACAGTGTACGCGTGAATGTTTTGGAGCCACTGTACCCGAGCTGTACACTTTTGCGTGGCTGTGTGTGTGTGTGTGTGTGTGTGTGTGTGTGTGTGTGTGTGTGTGTGTGTGTGTGTGTGTGTGGTGTGTGTGTGTGTGTGTGTGTGTGTGTGTGTGTGCGCGCGCGCGCGCTTGCGGGTGTGGGTGTCCATATGTCTGTATGTCTTTTTGTTTTTACCTTTCCCGATTTGATGACCACTATTGCTGCGTGTTCGCTGTTGGGACATTTGTTCATGTTACTTGTGATGGATATTCGATCTCCACGGTAAGCGTTGTCGGGAATTGTTCGCACCCAGCATTGCGTTGTTAGACAATTAGTGGAAAACTGATTTTTGACTATTTAAAAAGCTTCCTTTAAACCTGGGAGTGGCTGTCTATGCAGACGCTTTCCATAATCGAAGAATGATTGCAATGAAGGTAATTAAATTGCTTACTATTACTAGGAACAGTTTCTATACCTCGGGACCCAAATACACAGCTTCATGCTTTTGATTCAAGGCCGGCCATGCCTCGAGTTCAGAAGAAGTATCAAATGGGGAAATTGATAAAATGAAATTAAAACTATGCACACTCAATCCGAATTCGAGCTAAATCTGAAAGTCTGCAAGGTGGCAAAATTACCAACGGAAACCTGCTCAGAAGCCCATTAAACATGATTCAAGTTGGCTGCATCTTTTCGCCCATGCCCTCACGGCCTCGAGGGCCGGTCGTCTGAGGAGCTGTGAGATATGCGAAAAGAGCGTCACGCGGGCCCCGAGAAAGGGTCGACTCGAAATGGGGGCTATTGCAGGTCAGGATGGGTGGATCTTACCGATTCGCAGTATCGGTGTCAATCCCAATTAAAAGTGCTCTTAAGTACAAATACCGCGCTTTTTGCTGAACGCATCGCATCATTTATCAGTAGCATTTAAGCTATGTTAGATTACATACATCATTAAGTTAGCTTAACATCTAGGCACATGGACAAATATTTTGGTTGGCGCTGTGCTATATTGCGTAAGTGTGCTGTCCGCAGATGTTTCTGGGTGCCATTTCAGCAACATGTTTTAAACGCCCCATTCCTTCTCTTACGCCAGGTTTTTATTGGCGTGCGTGTGGAATTACACCCCGCCATCCCAAAAGTAGGACATAGAGGTGAACAAACAGAAAATTACACCAGCAACGCAACTAAACACAAAATGAAACGACTTGTTCCTAAAAACTTACAATACATCATAAAACACTTCCTGCCGTTGACCCCATGCGTCGTATCAGAGTCGTAGAAAGTCGTATAAAAGTAAAAAGTCGTATCAAAAAGTCGTATAACACGCACGCAAAAATATTTTGTTTTGTGCTCGTCTGCCGAACGGCATCTCCTCATTTGCTTTATGCTATCCGATCCACCTCTTTAGACCGACATTACCGAAAACGTATTGCGTATAGACGAACTGGCACCGCTATCATCACTTGTCATTTGTGTTCAGTTTTGCAGTGATGTCGGCCATGAGACGCTTTGAAACTTGCTTGCCCCAGCTTTCAAAAGTCGAGAATTAGTTGCCTTAGTGAAAGAAGGGGGCATTTCCACATATTTTGCAAGCTTTGTTTGACAACACAGCGATCAAAGATGTCCTTACCATTATTCTTTTCTAAGCCACCACGGTCTTCGCCAATCACGCTTTACTGGAGACGGCTGCCAACTAATCATCTTTGTTTGTTCTTGTGCACGATGCTGCCGTTATCTTATGATCACAATTTTGGCGGAACTGAATGCCGTGAGATCCTTTTGTTAAGTACACATGCTCGCATTCATACGAATGTGAATAACGGAATTTCATTCGCGTTTATCCAAGAGGACAGCGTTGCCTAATCAGGCGAACTGGTATGAAGCCGTGTTGCGCTGGAGACCAGCTGACGCGGGGCAAGCTGTGTTCCTTTCGTTGAAATGAAATGGGTCGCCATTTGATGAGCCCAGAATATCAGGCGCCGTCTCCTGTCTCTGTTCGCGAAGTCACTGTTTTGGTTCATGAGCCAAGTGAACTGCGCAGCTGACCCGTACCTGATGTCAGAACAATGACGCGACACTCCGTGTTCAAAGCCGACGCAGAGCGGACGTGTCGGGATGCAATTAAACGCCTCTCCGCTCACCCATCGTTCGATGCGCTCGGCGGAACGTTTTGTGTTTTCGGGACATCAATGGCTCACGATGATTGGACAAACTCTGTCAATGTCAGGCTTATTTTACGTTGAGGTTCGTCGGGAGCCACTAACATGATAAACAGCTTACGTGGGACAAACATATTATCATAACCGTACTTTACAGAAAGCCCTGCCTCCCCGATCAATTTCATGAAACTCACCCAACTCAGGAGGTGAGGAACCGTGGTGTTGTTTCATGATGACCATTCCCTAAGCCCCTTTCCAGCGTACCGATCATGGATTGACGTTTACCTGTAAACGGTTATTTAGTGACAATGCACCCCTGGGATGTCATGGTGTATCATGCGCGCTCTTGCTCCAGCGTGGAGGCGGTCGAGCTTAAGGTTATATGGCGTGTTAGGTGTTCATATTTTGATGTTGTAACTTAGAACACGACGAGAAATCCGTTCATGCTGGGTGTAGCGACCTACTAAGCGCATAGGATACAAGTGGGATGCGAGCCTTACCAATGGCTTATGTCGGTAAGATGTGACGGTCAATCTTCTGAACTCACAAACTGACGAGCATCATGCCTCCATCTATTTTCTCTCCAGGCAATTGCCCTGATTCCGGTGAGGGTTTTATTGCAGGGCCGGATTCGCAGCTCTCCCGTGGGAGTTGTTTCCATGCCTGTGGACGTTTCCCACGTGAGCTACGCCGGAGCGGGTCAGGTCAGGGTCGGAGGGGTGCCGGCAGAACCGCGGCTGCCGTGCGCTGGCCGTCTCAGGGGCGCCACCGTTCCCAGGTGCTTCTCCTGAGGCCAATTAGCTGCATTGCGAGGGGGCAGGGAAGCGGCGCGTCGGTAGAACCTCCGCCAGCGCCGGCCACCTGACCCCGCCTCATCCAATTACATCTGCCGCCGCTTCGTAGCCGCCGGCGTTGAAAGAACTCGTCAATTTGCTTAGGCCCAGAGCAGCTGTGATAGAAGCCTCGCCGTCTCGCAAAGTCGAGCGGACCGCGTCAATAGGCAGCGTCTTTCGAGCAGAAAGTCAGCCCAACACGCGCGGGTCGTCAGCGGTGGCGCCGCCTGCGTGCGGCTGGATGACCGGATGCCTTCTGTTGTCATGACGGCATACAATACAACCGCCGAAGCCAGCGCGCGTCTGCCTGCCGCTGCGTGGCGGAGCTGGCCCGAGCTCACGTCCGTCGGCCCGGCGGACCGACCAGCGGGACTGACAGCGGTCCGGCCGGCGCGGCCCGGTCGCAGCCGGCGGGGCGCCGACTCATCTGGTCATCGATTCGACGCGGCCCATCGACGTCGGCTCGTCACCGGACGGCGCTGTCTGACGTGCGGCCGCGTGATTTTGCTAATCAGCAGGCCATATTGGCTCGAGGTTATTGCGGGCGGGCGCTGATTAGCCGTCGGACGCAACGCCGGCCGCGCTGGGAGCCGGTCCGGCGCGTGGGTGCGCGCGGGACATCTGGGACGCCGCGCCGGCACCCCCCGACCTCCTGGACGCCGGCCGCGCTTGTAGCCCGGGCCGGCGTGTGGGTGCGCGTGGGACATCCGGGACTCCGTGCCAGCACCCCCCGACCTCCGGGGTGTCGCGCCGGCACCCGCCAGATCTCCAGGGTGTTGCGCCGGCACCCGCCTGATCTCCAGGGTGTCGCGCCGGCACCCGCCAGACCTCCAGGGTGTCGCGCCGGCACCCGCCAGACCTCCAGGGTGTCGCGCCGGCACCCGCCTGACCTCCAGGGTGTCGTGCCGGCACCCGCCTGACCTCCAGGGTGTCGCGCCGGCACCCGCCAGACCGGGATGCCGGGACCGTCTGACCACGCAGCCTGTTGACCGCCGTGGTGGCCGCCACCTGTAGCACACGAGGCGTTACAGGTGTTGATGTCGTATCTGAGGCTGCTTCGGCGGCTGACGCAGCGTGGCACTGTCCAAGTGCTTACGGTACTTCTGTGAACGTTGATGATTATAGGAGAGGAATACAGACGTAGTTGCTTGCGGTTTACAAGCGGGCAAGTAATTTTGGGAACGTGACAACGAATCTATATTTAAATAAAGCGGTTGACCACCACGCTTCAGTCCAAATCCAGCATTTCTGCACCAATCAGGTAGAAAGACAAATTCGTCTACGTACCATTTTATTTGTCATCAATTAACCGAACACGCGCTATAAATACACACTAAAAGCAATCGTTCAGCAGATATTCAAAGAGGCGTAGTTACATTCACAGTTCACTACACGTAGCTACCAGGACATCGCGGCCATTGGAACCACTCATGCCTATCGCTATTCGAGGGCGGGTTTCACTTCAGAGCCCTTGCTCATACACCGGTCAATTACCCAAGGCGTCAGCGGAGGTCACGTCGAAGCGACATGTATTGCCCGCGAGCAAGCGCGTCACTGATCACGTGTTCCTCATGGTAACTAGCGTTTCACAATACCTTACACATTTGGATGCAGCACAGATTAACGTAAATATACAATATTTCGGGCGTCACGACCGCTTCACCAGGACAGCGTGAACGGCTCTGCTGCCGCTGCTGCCGCCAGAAATCTGTTCCGTCATGCGAGACCAGTGCGCGGAACCTGAAGTCCTTACCGCGACTTCGCACGTTAAATGACGTAAGCACGTACAGGCTCGTGTCCGTCAGAACAACAGGCCCGATGAAATGCGATGCAGCTCATCTGTCGGACCTCGCGGCAGCAGCGACAGCGTTGGCGGAAATACGAGTCATGGCGACTGTTGCGAAAGACTACATTCGTTCACTGCCAGCAGCTGCCTTCATCCTGGCAGTTCATGTATCGTCAAATGAACTGACGATGTTATGGCTGCTCAAGCGTGACGTTATATTGCTATTTCCGATTTGCCCCTTCCGTGTTTTTTTTGTGGATGGATTTGTGTTA